TTCTGGGACACATATAACATGGATGTTAGTGCACTTTATGTTGTCACAGAGGTCCTTTACACTGTCCTCATTCTTTTTAATTCTTTTTCCTTTTATCTGTTCAGCTTGGGTGATTTCCTTTAGTCTTTTGTCCAGCTCGCTGATCCATTTTCTGTATCGTCTACTCTGCTACTGAGTCCCTCTAGTGAATTTCTCATTTCCAGTATTGTATTCTTCATTTCTGATTGGTTCTTTTGCTATTTTACAATTCTTTGTTGAAGTTCTCACTGAGTTCATCCATTCTTCTCCCAAGATCAGTGAGCTTCCTTATGACTCTTTGTTTGAACTGTTTGTCAGGTAGATAGTTTATTTTTGTTTTGTTTAGTTCTTTTTTCTCGGATTTTGTCCTGTTCCTTTACTTGGAAAATATTCCTTTGTCTCTTCATTTTGCCTCTTTCTCTGTGCTTAAATCTGTGTATTAGGTAGGACAGCTACATCTCATGATCTTGGAGAGTTGGCTTTATGTAAAAGATGCCTTACGAGGCCCAGCAATGTGCTTCCCTCTTGTCACCAATTCCAAATGTTCCAGGAGTGTCCCCTGTGTGGCCATGTGTTTCCTTGTGTTGTGGCAGGGTTGGTCTTGCTGCAGGTGCCTGGGGAGATTAGGCTGTCCCCTTGGCCAGCTTCTTGTAATGCTCAGCTGCGTGGGGACACTATGGTCCTTTCAGTCATTTTATTTGGTTTGGGGAACCCCAGCACAGTTGGCTCCAAGGTCTAATAGCATATTCCTGTTGCAGTTTTTCTGTTAAGTGATTAGGCCCCCAGCATGGCTGTTTGCTAGACTCAGGGGCTTACAATTGCTGCAGGCCTCTGGCCTGCAAAGCTATTGTCATCTTTCTCAGCATAGCAGCTGAGTGGGGCCGCCCCCAGGCATGGTAGTACTCAATTGTTTCAGGCTTTGAAAGATGGGGCTGTGGGAGATCAAGATTTGGCCATCCTAAAATAAACCTCTTTACCTTGATTGTTTTCTCTGAGGGACATTTGACCTCTCGCACTAACTGTCTAAAAAATTTGACACGGTGGCTCCTTTCTGGAACAGATCTTCTATCATGATGGCTGTAAAGATAATGTAAGATAAATGTAAAATAGAAAAGGCACCAACAAGCCCATCTTATCAGAAGTTCTGTCTCTCTGGCCACATTCTCTGGATGGCCCTGCAAGGAGTTGCCAGACAAACATTTACATTTATAAGGGAAATCTCCATTTGTAAAGGTATCTCCCTCTCTTTTTTGGGAAGAGGGGGGATGGCCTCATTTCTAGAGACTTATCAATGTGAAAGGTGAGGCCTTAAATCTGCAATAATAACCTGACTCTTGTTTACAGTGCTTTAGTGGTAATCTCCTGTAACTGACTCCCCCCACCTCAAACATTCTCCTTTGTCGTTGGCTGAACATGGTATTTAAGACGAGATTTTCTGCTATTGTGTTGAGAAACATAGTGTCCCTGCTTTCTCCCATGTATACATGTTATAAACTTAGTATTATTTTCTCCTGCTAACCTGTCTTTTTAATTATTTGGCCAGCCATAAAAACCTTAAAGAAGAGGGCAGAGGGAGATTCTCCCTCTTCCCCCCACAGGGCCAATCACCTATGTGGCAGTTTGGGAAGCACAAGTCTGCTGTAGCTGACAGATCTCACTCCCTGCAGACCTACACACCACGTCAACAGAGTCCTGCCCTGTGGACATGCCTTGACCCACTGAAGTGGACCCAGTCATCCCACTGCAAAGACTCCACACACTCCAGCAAAACAGGCCTGCCCCTCATGCATGCCTTACCCCACAGAGGCAGACCAACTCCCCCGCTTGCAGAAGTTCCAGGCACTGTGCATATGCAGGCTCACAAGTTGCCTAAGGGCTTGCTGTTGGGTGGGGCCAGGCCCTAGTGTGGGCTGCCTGCCCTGGCTGAGCTACATTAAATTGGTGCTCTAGTGGGTGGGGCAGACCCCTGTGCTAACAGGCCAGGGGAAGGACTCCAATGGCATCTGCCAACGTTTGTGTCAGCACGCCTGTACTAGGTCACAATAATGGCTGCCACCAATGTCTCAGTGCATGAAGAGGTCTTACCTGTCACCAACATGCACCCAGAGACTATCAGGTGAGTCTCTTTTCACCAAAAGACTGTGCAACTTTCTTTCTGGTGTTTTTAGGTTGTTTTCTGAAATGTGTGCATTTGTGTATGTGCCTTTTAAGAGCAGGCTTTTCTTCCCTTTTGTCTGAAAGCTTTTCTGGGGATATTTCCAGTTCTTGTTAATAGCCAGCAAGACCAGGTATTATGACACTTGTCTCAGTTGTGCTGAGTCTAAAAACTGCTGTGGGAGATCAAGATTTGGCCACCCTGGGATACATCTCTTTACCTTGATTGTTTTCTCTGACAGACATTTGACCCCCCCCCACCCACTAACTGCCTAAAGAATTTGACATAGTAACTCCTTCCTGGAACAGATCTTCTATCTGATGGCTGTAATATAATGTAAAATAGATGTTACAATAGGAAAGGCACCAACAAGCCCCTCTTATCAGAAGTTCTGTCTCTCTGGCCACATTCTCTGGATGGCCTTGCA